TCATTTAAAGTTTTAAAACTTTTTATTTTTTTTATTTTAAGAATCTGAAACGGCGGACACAAATATATGATGGTTTTGTATATAACCGTTATATATTGTTTAAACTTTATATGATGAGTTTTTAAAATACCCGTCACTTAAAGTTAAATTTATTTTTTATTTTTTTCTTCCAGTAAATGAAATGTTTGGCTGAAATAAATGACAAGATTTTTTAATACCCATCATTTAAAGTCTTATAATATATGATGGTTTTTTTTTAAGGCTCGTTATTTATTTGTTCACCATCACACGCCTATCTCATATATGACGTGTTTTTATTTGACTGTCATTTTTTATGGCGTCTTATATTTATGTTTTTGTAGTAGGGACTATTGCTTCTATAGAATAAAAATAATTCTATGTAAATAAGATAAGATGACCTGAACAAGTGAAGACTTCTCGTTTCCACTTCAGCAGCTCTTGATAATGCGTGCAATACTTAATTAAACTATCTTGTATTTATATATATGCCGCCAAATCTTATATAGTTTGTCTGATTCAAACGATACATGATAATAGATTCGCTACAACAAAAAAATTCGTCTGACCATGCCATTCTTTAATCAAGTTCACAACTAATGTCAAAGTGCAAGTTGGTTGAAATCATAATATATATATATATATATATATATTATCTTTTATTATAGATTATAATATTAATATGGGAGAATCACATCCAAGGATCTCCCAAAAGAATTATTTATAGATAAGGATCAACATAAAATTGTTTGTTGTTTACATGGTAATAATTACTTCTTTTTTCTTGAATGGTGACTTATTGTTAGTTCTTATTTGTGAATAATTCTTTTGTAAGGTTCTTGAATGTGGTTCTGTCCATTAATGTTAATTTTATTTTACATCATTAACCATTTCTTGGAATTTTTGTATATATCCGATAAACTACTTCTCTGCTTAAAATTTGAAAAAAAAATTGTATTTATTTACCCTCGACATTCATCATTGATTGAACAGTACTAATGAACCAAGCTAGCTAGGCTGAAGTTTTTGCATGTAAGTTTTCCTTCAGAATAATTTTCCCAACATGCTAAGATCACTCAACAATTTTTATTTATGTATTGTATCATATAAATGTAAAAATATTTTATTTGAATGACTAATTCAAATGCAAAACATCATATATCATCTAATAATATAATAACTACTTGCCAGAGTTTTAAAAAGCCGCTGAATTGCACATATAACTCAAAAATGTATTGACTTACAACATCACTTCTATGTTATTTATTGTACCTTACATTACATAAAAATAGAACAAAACTCAAATAGTACAGCATAAGAGAATGCGCAAACTTTATATATATATATATATATATGCATTACATACATAAATACATACATTTTCCATTTTCTTTATTCAAAAAAATCACTTGTGCCTTCACATCACAGTCAACAATTTGCTTTAACTTAATTGGTTTATTTATAAAACTCGATGACTCCCAAAGCAGAAGAGAAAACACGGGCAACAACAACACAATAGCAGGAAAACCCAGCAGCTTTGCCCAGAGCTTCCAATTCTTACTCTGTTCTTTCCTTCCCACAGGCTTGCAAATACATGATGTTGTCAAGAATCACTACATATTTATGGCCGTCTGTTAGTGTTTCTGGCATTATCAAGTCAATCACAATAAGCTTCCCTCCTTTCTTGAGGGAGTTCTGACAATTTTTCAGAACTTGTGTGAACTTGTCATCTGCCCAGTTATGAATTGTAGCCTGCAACAAAACACACACACACACACACCCCTTAGCATATCATTAATTATATTTGGATTATTTATGTGAAGTTCTTGTGTCAAACGAGTTGGATATTTTAATAATATATTGATATTTGGAAAGGAATAACTATTTTTTCGTTAATAATATTAAACTCGTGATTATCTGAAACTATATCTGTTAAAAGGCGTCATTAATTGACATTTTATTGCTCTTTGTCTATAAAAGTCAGTGCGGTCTGCATAGTTGAGAGAATCGTCCTAAGCTTTCAGGCACTCTTCTCTCCTTCCCTCATTGTGCTTTTCCTGAGTTACTTCATGAATCCCTGTTATTCTATGTCCTTATTCACTTTGTAAGAAAAGTCTGCTTTATTTTGGGGAGTAGTCATGCGAGCAATCTTATGTGATGAAATAGATCTTAAGTATAGTGTCCGTAGATATGACTCAAACTATAACTATACCTACTGTTGCCAACAAAACATATTGACCTTGATCATTGTAGCATCACCTTTTGGGACACATATGTACAGCATGAATAGTTTCATCGAGATATCAAATATAATTAAATGTCCATGCAAGTCTTTATTCCTGCATAAATCTTCATTATAGGAATATATATCGATGGTACGTTAAGAGCATATATATAGTTAATGTCTAGATATATACTCTCTCTGGACCACAATACAAGGCATCTTCTAGAAATTTTATTTAGTCTAAAATATAAAATATTGAGTAAATTTTTTAATTGTTTTTCCTACAATACCCTTACTTCATTTATTTCTAATCTTTCAAAAAAAATGATACATTGGAATTTTAATTTTCATTAACAAGGAACTTATATAAGGTTTTTCATGAAGGTATAATTAAAAAGATGTAAATATTTTTTAAGAAATTAAAGTTTCAACTAACATTTTTTTTAGAGCCATAAATTAGTTACTAATGCCCTATATTATGGTCTGAAGAGAGAATGAGTCCAAGCAAGAAATACTGTAACACCCTCAAATTTACAAACTGATTTTTCGCAAATTATTAATTCAATAAATTATTTTTTTTGAACCTTTATCATACCCTTATCATGGTAGAAAAATTTCTACCATGGTACATCTAAGACAATATACCATAGGTCTTAAAATATCTCAAAAAGCAATTAGAACCATGAGGGAACAGACAGGATCCTCATGACATGATATTTAAATTAGGTCATGAATCAAGAGGGACAAACATAATCCTCTTAGTCAAATAAATACTTTTAATAAAAAGGATTAGAGTTTACATGTTGTCAAAATAAGAAATGTCCTAGGTTGGCACAAGATACATTGCATAATACAAAATGAGAGGCAACGTAAAAGATGGTGTCTCATACACCATAATTACACCTCTGGTGCTTTCTCGGCCGGACCCGCTCCTGTAAAAATGTTAACCATGGGGAATGAGACTTGAAAGTCCCAGTAACCAAAAATTAATATGTAATGATGCATGCGGATGTAACTAATCATGCGATTGCTAAGTGGGCACACAAAACATTTAACCGAACAATATTTTCAAACAAACGGAACAAGTATTTAATTGCATGACTACACCTTATATCCTCCTTTCACCATGCTCGGACGCCAAGTCACCCGGCCAAAGGTGAGTTGGACCAAGCGACACGCCACTCATTGGGTCCAATGAGGGCTTACCACGTGGTAATAATTAACCGAACAGAAATTTCCATTAACACCATACATTAAAATACCCTGACAAGTCATGCATTATTCAAATATCCAAACAAAAATATATCCGAACAATAATATCTCATCATGATAAACAAAATAAATTTTTAACCCACTTGGCAATAATTTCAAACAAGTATATAACAGTATTTATTTTCAATAATTCATAATTTTTTCAAACAACAAAACAACACATAACCATTCACAAACACACTCATCACAACACATTAATAATGGTTACCTTGTGTCTTGAATAACAAGTTCCCCTTCACAACTCCTTTTTCACCACTATCTTTGTCAATATAATCTACATAATTATTTCACAATATTATATATTAATTTTACATTAAAATAAATAACTCTAATTTAAATAGTTAGAAAGTCTTAGATCTATAATCCATATTAACACTAATTTAAGATTTATGCCTCATTTAACTTCTCAAATTCTTTTTCTAAAATTCTCGTACCCTAATAAACTATTTTTTTTATCCTCAAATCACTTCTAGTATCACAATTTCATCCTTCTATATTCTAAAAATTCATCCTAAAATAAATTAAATTTTAAAATTATCCTAAAGCCTCAGATCACCTTTCTATAACCTCAAAAATACCTATTCATACTTAAATAAATATTTAATAATCATAGGTTTATCCCTACATCTCAAATTCCACATAAATTCAACCATATAGATCTAGATTTTAACTCAAAAATTCTTAAACATAAGTTTCAATCTCAAGAAAATATTCTATAATATTTATTATATCCCTAAGAGTTTTAACCTATATTTTTAATCTATCATATCATCAGATTAACTATCCTATAGAAAAATTCTAATCAAAATATTTACTCTATCCTACAAAATAATCAGATCACTAGAAAACTAATATTATTTAGAAAATAACTATAAAATTAATTTTGTAATTAAATAAATTTTTAAATGCTAATCTAAACAGAAAAGTTAGAACATACCTGAAGAAAAAAAAAATAATCCCCCCTTGCGAGAAAACGCCGAGCAACGTGAGAGGAAGAGAGAAAAATAATATAAAAATGGGATTGTGAGTCCCAAAATTATATTAAAAAAAACTATAGGTTTGAATTTAATTATTCAAACCTTTGGGCCAAAAGTTGCAATTTCCTCTAAATTGCATCTTAGCCTCTCATGCTTTCCTAATGCACACACCCCCTCCTTTTTATACATGAAGGCACCTCTTCTCTTCCCTCATCTAACCAATGTGGGACTTAGAAACAACAACCTTCCACCCTCCCCTTTTTTTTTGTTCCTTCTATCTTCTCTTTTTTTTTAACACACACATAAAAAAAATATTTATGTATTATATCTTAACTAAATATTGCTTATGTGGTTTTAAATTTAAATTTTTAAATTCATAATTAAATACCTAATCATAATATTATTTCTAAATAACCTCAAATAATATAAATTTCTATTATTATCATCATTTTAAAAAAAACTTAAATTTCATAATTTTTTTTATCTAAAATTTAGGATGTTACAAATACTTACCGAACTTTTATATAAGCTGGATGGTAGCTTAATCTGGAGACTGAAGCATAAGAGACTCCATCCTCATCAGGGAACATGTATTTATCAGTAGGAGATAGATCATAAAGCCTCTCAATTCTACCATCTTCATCAACCTTCCTGGAAGAACAAGTCAAAACAGAATGACTTGCAAGCAAACACAGCAACCGATCAAGGCGGCGAACGGTGTCAGCATGTGCATTTGGAAGCTTGGAAGCAATTTCAGAGGGTGACATGCCCTTAGGGTTTCCCTCACCGATGATCTTGAAGAGGTCGAGCTCAATGGCAGCATTTAACACTGCAAGGTAAAGTTGACCACTCACTAGCAACATGGCATCAAGAGAAACATCACATTGATCATGATTGTCCATAGTAGGGCTCATGCTTACTAGCTTCGTCTATAGATTATATAGATACTCTCTATATCAACTATGAGAGTGGGTTTAGATTTTAGCCTAAAGATAATTCAAGCAACCTGATTTAGTCTTGTACTTGTGAGGGGTATTTATAGTGTAAATAGACCGTTGAAACTCAGGGATAGATGATTAAAATAGTATGGTCTTATTGGCTAATTAGCAAGAAACCTCTCCTAGTTGATCATCTTCTTGGAGCATAAAACTAATTAATTGCATGCATGCACTATAAATACCCCCCACAAGTACATGAGTCACTTTCTGATATACATGAGTCATACATGCAAGCATGTGAATCATATTTATTTAGAAAACATATAATTTTACTAAGTAGATGTGATACAGGTAGTAGCAGTCTAGAATCACATCATTGTAGAGTTCGGTTCTTAGAGATGTGTATTAAAAAAAAAGTACTTGTGAAAAGAGAACCACCTAAATGATACTCAAATTAATTTTTTAGGTCTTTCTACTAATAGAAAATTTGTCAAATAATATATCTAAATCTATAATGAGATTTTAGAATATTTAATCTATAAATGTGAAATTTTTATTAGATATGAGGACTCTTAAAGTAAGGTTTGAGGCGAAGAATAAAGATTTGAGATGAATAGAGACTTTAAATCAATGCTTTGAAGCTATGAAAAATTTGTTAGTTATAGACACATAAATTAGTTTTATAAAAAGAAATATGGATTTAAAAGATAATTTTGGAGTTTTTAAGATAACTTTAAGGTCTTAGAGTAATTTTAAAGTGGTTTGGGGGTGATCTTTTAGCAGTTTTAAATTATATATTAATATTTTTATATGTGTGTGACTTATGTAGACTCTTATTGAGAACTCTTATAGCCTGGATTCTTATTGTGAAATTACTTGTAAACTTAATGAGAACATGTGACTTAAGGTTTTTCCACGTTTGCATCAACTATGTTTGCTATGGTGATTTATAAAAGTATGCTCTAGTATAATTTTGTCTAATCGAGTATGATACATGTACATAAACTTTCTATAAATAGTGAAGGACGTGATTGTGGAATACTAGAATCTAATGAATTACTTTAATCCTATCATGCATGCCTTTGACGTATTTCCATGATTATGTGGTAATATATTTCCTTTAAAGCTTGTTTGCATACATTGTGATGGTTGCACAAGCATGTCATGCATTGGTGATCGGTTGAAGAGATGATGATGTTAATATATATATATATAACTTTCAACCATGTGGTTTGCCTTCACTTTGTGCATAGTGGTTGGCCTTATACAGGGCTTTAAAGAGGGAATGTGAGACAATAACACTTCCTTGTTGGGTTCTTTAAAGAGGGGAGCCATAGTTTGGACTTGGGCTTTGTACCTTTGGTTAGGTACATCTCAAGCATTGGAGATGCTTTGGTCAGTCTAACATGTAAGCCAAATCGTGAATAAGCCTATGGTTCTAGTCAATGGTATAAGGTTGGATGGAGTAATAAGGGAGTTACCTACTTGCATATCATCATATGTTGCATATAATTATTATGAATTATGCTCCATGAACTTGTATCTTCATAACTAATAGCAATGAAATTTTATGTATACTTATAGTTAATTGTGTTTGGTTGTTAGTGTGTACATGTATGGTAAAATTCTAGGTTATTGAGACGTTAGTGCTCACTCTTCTTTTTAACATTTTAGGTAAGCTTAGTAGAGCAATGGGAAAGTATGTAGAAGTCTAGGGCTTAGCTTGAATAAGCTTTAAGTCTCATTTCAATTTGTAGAATAATTATTTGCCAATATATGGCTCATTTGGGTGGATTTTTGAGATTGTTTATGATTTATAGATGATTATTAAGTACTAGTAGTTGAGGCTGTAAATGCCCCAAGAGGGGGGTAAATTGGGCTAATTGAAAATTTAAATGAATTGCAGTAATAATAAGTGAGATGTAGGAACAAAATTACCAATCACGAGAGTTAGATGAGCAGAGCTTGACACTAGTGATTTATCTTAGTTCGACTCCTACCACTTGAGTCTATGTCCAGTCTTTAGGAACCTCCTGAGATTTTCAACTATATTACCAAGATTAATTTAGGCTCTTAGTTACCTCAGTACATCAACAAACTTCTCAATAAGTCTGAAACTCTCCCCCTTACAAAGGTATGATAAATCCCTTTAAGCTCCCTGAGCTTAAGTTCCTTTGTTTTGAAGATGTAAAATAGGGATAAACAAAAAAAATTTAAGAATGAACTACTGTTGCTTTTAAACTCTCTTTAAAAGTAGATATATAATCAATGAAGCTCTCTATCAATAAATAATAGACAGAAGATAGGTAAACTTTAATGCTTAAATAAACACAGAATGTTCTTGTTGATTTAAATTGTTCACCCCTTCTTTAGGTTTCATAAATGAGTCTATTTATAGTTGAAAATCATAAACAATCCATTAGACTTATAAATTTTTCCATTGGAGATTGTTTGTGATTTATTTCCTTCTAGCTTCATGTTTCCTTGGATATCCAAGGTTCTCCAGTGAATGAGACAATAGAATAGTGTTTTATGGCAGAGACTTTGTTTTTTGTATAGTAACGGCTAAAAGCATTAAATGTTTCTAATAAAAGTAGTTGAAGCTTATATGTTTTGGTATAACAGAAAGCAAGCTCGGTGACATAATCAAAGATAAGCAAACTAAATAACGTTAAGAAAATAATTGTGTTTGAATATCATCTAGTGAAGATATAGAGTGAACACAATTGATTTTAGATGAAAAGAAGGATTAGAAGAAGAGTTCAGATGACCTTCAAGAGAGATACAAAACATAGAGCAAAAAGATTCATAGTAGATTTGGTGTTACTAAGTCTTAGCACTGGTGTTAAAGTGAAGAATAGACTCTAAAAGAAGGTCATAACATAGGTGTTGTTTTGATAGTACTGGTGTAATCCAATACATAAAAGACAAAGTTTTTCGATAATTTTAAGTGAATAAGAATATATCTGAAAAGATTACTTAGCACCGATGTTAAAAGGCGAAGTAACATAATCAATCAAATCTCTTCATGTCATAGAAGAAAGGATAGTACTGGTGTTGAAGTGTTAGAATAGGTGTTACACAACCTTGAACAAAACTTAGTACAGGTGCTAACCAAGTAATGCAGGTGTTGCCTTAATTCAACTAAAGATAAGTAAAGAATAAGACCGATGTTAAATAGATAGTACCGGTGTAAGGAAAAAGGAATGAGAGAGAATCAATTCATAGGTTTAAAGAGATAATACTGATGTTAGAATTAGTTGGACCAGTGTTATATGAAACACAAAACAATAGAATAGTGAAGATAACTAAGATAGCATCAGTGTTAAGGCTTATAGTACCAGTGTTAACAACACTTAGAAACACTTTAGAATAAGATAGATTTAAGCACAAAGATTATAGTTAAGTCAAATACTTAACTAACAAAAAAGCATACCTTATATTAAGATTTGATAAACGTTAAGACAATTAACCTGGTTTTAGTTAAGAAAACTTGAAACACACAAAACTGCTCTTTATTTTATAATAATCAAAATTAGGGTTCAATATTTCTCCCCCTTTTTAATGATAACAAAACTTAGATGTAAAGTATTAGTTCTCAAAGAGACTTTGGTCTCTATTTCTTAAAAACACAAATTAAAATAGAAGAAATGCGCATTATATATATATATATATATTTAAAAGATGTTACAAATAACAGAGAGTTTAATCAGATAATCTATCCAATAAATAAGTAAATACTCAAATACTCAATTCACTTCTTAAAGACAGTTTCAAAGAAATCTATTAACTCATGGAATTTCTTAGTAGTGGGAGATAAAGGTTTGAGTGTTTTAAAGGGTTGAGAGGATTGAGGTTCAGAGGTTTTGGATGAAGGTTGAGGCTTATAAGTCTCTAAAGTCTTTGCTTTGAATTTACTCAATCTAGGTAAGGCACTTCTTAGTCTTCTCACAATAGGTTAACCCTTATGCTTGCCACTTCCCGAATCTTTAACCACATGCTTGTTTAACCCACTATCTTGAATCTTACTATGAACCTTGCTTTTTACCTTGTTTTTAGACTTTGTATCCTTACTTGTCTCCCCCTTTTTGTCATCAGCAAAAGGCTTAGATAGATTAACAGGGACAAAAAGATTAGAGGAAGGTGTGTAGGAAGAACAGGTACCACTTCCAGTCCAAACTGCTCTATTCTTAAACCTTGGTGGAGGCTTGAAAATTGCATCAGATTCTAAAATAGTAGTGGGTAGTGTAGGAGACAATACAAAATCAAGATTCTCCTGATTAAGTCTTGAAAGGCCTCAGTATAGTTGATCATAGAGAAGAAAGGAGTAGAAGGTGGAGGTGACTGTGCAGACTCCAATTCTTTTCCATCATTAGAGATCTAAATATATTCTCTATAAATCTTGGCCACAACTAGTAAAGCTTATAGTTGTTTGATGCATGTGACTCAGCTCCTTTTGAACTATCTTCAAACATAGCTCTTAGTTCAGAATTAATAGAGGAAACTGGTCTAACCCTTAGATTGCCAATCTTAGAGGGTATCTGTAGATCACTGTCATGTTCATCTTTAGTCCCCCTCTTCAAAGTAGAGGTGCTGGATGTGTATACTAATACATAGTCTTTAACAAACTTTGCTCCAGCATTCTCAGGTAAAGAGACACTAGAAAGGGTACCCATCCTAAGGGGAGAGTAATGCTCAAATGAGTCCCTTAGTCCAGTTGATATACCTCCCAACTTAAAACTTGAGCTCTCAGCAACCCAATTTCTTCCTTGAATTCTTTTATAATCTCTTCAGAGGCTTTCTTGAGTTTTTGATTGAAGTCCTCAGCTTGTCTCTCAAGACACGATGTAAAAAGCTTATCTTGAATCTTGAACCTCCTATCCAACTACTTGACAGTGTCTAAATCAAGATATACTCCTCCTGATGATGGTCAAATAGATAAGTCATTCTGAGCAAGTTGATAT